GACATGCACCTGAAAGTTGATGGTCTTTACTAATATCCAAGATTATCTCAGTTTAGATAGCATATATTAGCTTAATGACATTAACAAAGTAAAGGAAGCACCCAAATGAGGGGTTAGTGAACTGTATAAATTTTGAGCAGATTTTTGTACATGTAAAACCTAGTACTAATGTAAAGGGAGTAAGTTAATGATATCGATGCTTCCACAGACTTATGATTATTAACCTTTTACTTGCCTGTTTATTCAAGTGAGGTGGCAAGTAATAGGACAAAATCAGATACTTTAAAATTGTATTTGGTTTTAACAGCATGGAAACACTTAATTTGTCAGCAAACCAATTATTAATCAGATTAATGGACTTTCATAAATCCACTGTGTTCCTATCGTGTTTGTTTGATTTATGTTTCATGAATACAGAATAAGGTTCTTCACATGTTATCAGAGGCTTAAATATGAAAGATATAAAAATCTAGAAGCACTCTACTGTGGGCTGTATGTTTGATGCAAAATTTCTGATTACTGCCTAGTTTGCCAGCAGTTCACTAGGAGCAAGAGGAGGAAGGGGAAGAGGAGCCAGACACCAGGCACTAGATCCTGCTCTGAGAAGGTAAGTGAACCAGGGATGCCTATGTATTTGGCTTGCTGAGTGTCTGTTTGGTGGGCTGTGTGTGTTTGGGGCATGTGCTTTGAGTATCCGGGAGTGCTGATAGCTGAATGATTGCTGGATGTTCCTACTAGGAATTCAGTATTTTTTTTTTTAGATATTTACATACCCTACTCTTCTACCTAATTAAGCATGAACGACTCATGCCCCCAGCAGCTGGGGGGGCACGGCGGCAGCAGGAGCACAGTGGTGGTAAGCAGGGTGCACCACCATGCTCAGGAGGTGCACGTGCACCTATGTACACCCCCTACGCATCACCCCTGCAATTAAGAGTAGCAGAAGAGTCTTGCTGCCTGCAACATTTTTATTGCAAATAATCCTTAAGTCTGACAAATCCATAATAAGGGGCAGAGCCAAGCCCAGCAGGGTATAAAAGGAGACTCCAGGAGTGACCAGGGAATGAATGAACAGGTACAGCAAACAGGGAAGTTTGCAGGTCAGTTTGCTGCTCCCCTCTTAGAAAGGGAGTCTTTAATGTAAGCTATTTCTTTCATTAAAAGTAGCTAACCAGTATATATTTAGTGTGAATAGCTAAAAACCAGGACTTACCTTTTCTCGCTGTAAGCTTGGTGAGAGGAAGCAGGGAAAAGGGAACCTTTTGGGACCAAGGAGCAGTGAACAGGTCAGCTTACAGGAGAGTTTGCTAGGGAAGGTCTGCTTGGAAAGAAGGGAGAAAGAGGGAGGTGGAAGATTTAGAGACACAGAGAAATGTTTGGAGGATGTTGCAGTGCCAGAGCCACTGCTATTCCCAGCTGCCTCTGGTTGCAACTGTGAAGTGTCTCCAGGCAGGATCAGCTTGAGGACTTCATTGATTCAATGCTTGTGGAAGGACTGTCAGAGGCAGCACTAGAGCAGGAAGAGAATGTAGACTCCCAGGAAGGTGATGGCTAGAAGCCTGTGACCTCTGGCAGCAAGCAGAAGTCTTCATCTCCCCTTGCAGCAGTTTGCCTGGAGAACAGATGTGAAGCCCTAGCAAAAGAGGAGGAGCACATTCCATTGGTGAAAGGCCTCCCCAAGGTTAGGAGGATCGAGACCACTGCCACCAAGAGGAAGTGATGAGTGGTGGTGGTTGGAGACTCCTTTCTTTGGGGGAATGGAGGCATCTATCTGCTGGCCTGCCCTATTGTCTTGGGAGGTCTGCTGCTCACCTGGAACCTGGATCCAAGATGGCATGGAGAGATTACTAAGTCTCATCTGGCCCTCTGGCCCCTATCCCATGCTGTTCATCCATGTGGGCACCAATGATACTGCCAGTGACCCTGAATAGATCAAAAGTGACTACAGGGCTCTGGATGCAAAGGTGAAGGGGATAGGGGCTCAGGTGGTGTTCTCCTTTATCCTTCCGGTCAAGGCAAAGGACTGAGGCAGGAGCAGATGCATCCTGCAGATCAAAGCATGGATGTGCAGATAATGTTATCAGCAGGGCTTTGGCTTCTTCAGGCATGAGTTTTTGTTTCAAGAAGAAAAACTGCTAGGAAGAGACGGAATCCAACTGATGAAGAGAAGAAAGAGCATCTTCATAGGCAGACTTGCTAACCTAGTGAGTAGGGCTTTAAATTAGGTTTGCTAGGGGATAAAGACTAAAGCTCTGAGGTAAGTGGGGAAGTGGGTGAACAGGAGAGAACACAAGAAGGAGGGTAGAACAGGAGATCTTCTCATTCTTTCTGAGAAAGTAGGGCAATTGGGTAGTTACCTCAGGTATCTGTACACGAGTAAGCAGGAAGGATTGGAAGTCTTTGCATAGTTACTGAACTATGACATGACTGGAATAATAGAGACATAGTGGGACAGCTCACATGGAATGGAACACTGTCATGGATGGGTAAAAGCAGCCAAGTTTCCTGATCACAGGCCCTGGTTCTAATAGGGGTTTCAATCACCCTGACTTCTGCAGGGAGAGCAATACCACTGTGCAGAGGAAGTTTTTGGAGAGTGCCGGGAACAACTTCCTGGTACAAGTTTTGGAGAAGCCAACTAGGGACCATGTGCTTCTTGGTCTGCTGCTCACAAATGGGGAAGAATTGGAGCTGAGTGTAGAAATGGATGGCAACCTGGGCAGCAGCAACCATGAGATGGTTGAGTTCAGGATCCTGAAGAAAGGAAGGAAGGAGAGCAGTTGAGTAAGGACCCTGGACTCAGAAAAGTAGTCTTTAACTCAGTCAGGGAACTGATGGGCAGGATCCCCTGGGAGAACAGTCTGAGGGGGAGAGGAATCCTGGAGAGCTGGCTGTACTTTAAAGAAACTTTACTGAGGGCACAGGAACAAACCATCCTAATGCACAAGAAGACTAGCGAGTATGTAGAAGACCAGCTTGACTTAGCAGGGAAATCTTCAGTGAGCTTAAACATAAAAAGGAAGCTTACAAGAAGTTGAAACTTGGAAAAATGACTAGGGAGGAGAATAGAAGTATTGCTTGGGCATGAAGTAATGAAATCAGGAAGGCCAAAGTGCAAATGAAGTTGCAGCTAGCAAGGGACATGAAGAGGAACAAGAATGTCATTCTACAGGTATGTCAGCAACAAGAGAAAGATTAGGGAAAGTGTGGGTCCCTTAATGAAGGGGGAGGCAAGCTATTGTCAGATGACAGGGGAAAGGCTGAAGTACTCAATGCCTGTTTCACCTCAGTCTTCACAGGCAAGGTCAGCTCCTAAAATACTGCACCTAGTAGCACAGTTTGGGGAGGAGGTGAGCAGCCAACAGCGGTGAAAGAACAGGTTAGGAACTATTTAGAAAAGCTGGTTGTAAACAAGTCCATGGGGCTGTATGCAATGTACCCGAGGGTGCTAAGGGAGCTGGACAATAGGATTGGAGAGCCACTAGCAATCATCTTTGAAAACTCAGTGATTGGGAAAGGCCCTGGATGATTGGGAAACAGCAAATGCCCATCTTAAGAGAGGGAAGAAAGAAGACCAGGGAATTACAGACTGGTCAGTCTCCCCTCAGTCCCTGGAAAAATCATGGAGCAGGTCATGAAGGAATACATTTCTAAGCACTTGGAGGAGAAGAAGGCAATTAGGAACAATTAGCATGGATTCACCAAGAGAAAGTCATGCCTAACCAACCTGCTTGCCTTCTATGAAAAGATGACTCGCTCTGTGAATGTGGGGAGAGCAGTGGGCATGATATACCTTGAGTTTAGCGAGGCTTTTGATATGGTCTCCCACAACATTCTTGCAAGCAAACTAAGGAAGCATGGGTTGAATGAATGGACTGTAAGGTGGATAGAAAACTGGCTAAATTGTAAAGCACAAAGAGTAGTAATCACTTGCTCCAGGTCTAGTTGGCAGCTAGTATCAAATGCAGTGTGGCAGAACAGTATGGGGTACTCCTGCACTGAGATACTCACCTCACTGCATCCCATCAAAAACCAAGCTTCAGAGGCCTCCACAGGGGCACCAGCTTCTGATCAACCCCCTTCCTGGAGCACACTCACAAGCCTGGGGTAACCACTGCCACCACCCAGGTTCTGGTCATTGCTCGGACCCTGTGCCCCCCAGGGTGCACAGGCTTTGTAGACCTTGAGGATGCTTGACCCACTGCGAGATCGTGGGGTGCTTCCCTTTGACCTGAAGCACAGACAGTTGCCTCCTTTAGTCAGACGAGCCAAGGGAATAAAAAGGCATGCCATTCCCTCTCAAGTATGTACCCCAAAGCTGATTACAGTGGATAGCTTTATTGGGTAGAGAGGGTAGGCTTGGGGAGGGATACAAGTCAGAGAAGTCTTAAAGGAAAATACCAGAGCAAACAGAAAGGGTTTGGTAGCCTTTTGACAAGTGACTAAAACACTAGATTCTAAATTCCCTGATTACATTTCATGTAAGTTACTCACAATTCCATCCAGGGGTGATTGAGCCTGCTTTAAAAGCAGCATGGCTTGCTGGCTGTGTCCCCAAAACATGGCTTCCTCCTCCTCCTGGAGAGCCTCTGCCTTAAATAGCTCCTCCCTCCCCCTGCCCCCCGACCTCACCTGCTCGACCCAGTCAAGGCCAGGTGTTGTTTTATGGCTACCAACCAATTTGAAAAGCATCACACGTTGACCAGGACTTAAGTCACTGTCATCCCTCTCCACCCCCCCAGGTCACGAGGCCATAACTTAAAACAATAGAGGTTAGGTGACTCAGATCACGTACAGCATAACCCGGGGCAAAGACGAGCCAAGGGAATAAAAAGGCATGCCATTCCCTCTCAAGTATGTACCCCAAAGCTGATTACAGTGGATAGCTTTATTGGGTAGAGAGGGTAGGCTTGGGGAGGGATACAAGTCAGAGAAGTCTTAAAGGAAAATACTCAGATCACGTACAGCATAACCCGGGGCAACCAGATTGACAGGCAGGTAAGAAGACCAAGACAAAGAAAAGGAAAAAAAACCTGAAAGCTGGCAGCTGGAAGATGATTCTTCCACAAGGAGTGCCCCAGGGGTCGGTCCTGGGGCTAGTTTTGTTCAACATCTTCATCAGTGATCTGGCAGATGGGATGGTGTGCACCCTCAGCACATTTGCAGATGACACCAGGCTGTGGGGAGTAGTAAATATGCTGGAGGCTAGGGCTAAGATTCAGAAAAATCTCAATAAATTGGACGATTGGATCAAAAGAAATCTCATGAGGTTTAATAAGGACAAGTGCAAAGTCCTGCACTTAGGATGCAACAGTCCCATGCACTAGTATAGGCTGGGGGCTGACTGGTTAAGGCCCAGTTCTGCAGACAGGGACCTGGGATTTATAGTGGACAATAAGTTGAGTAGCAACCAACTGTCTCCCCCTGTTGTGAAGAAGGCTAATGGCATACTGGGCTGCATTAGTAGGAACGTTGCCAGCAGATCAAGGGAAGTTATTATTCCCCTCTACTCAGCACTGGTGAGGTCACTTCTAGAGTACTGTGTCCAATTTTGGGCCCCCCGCTATAGCCTGATGTGGACAAGTTGGAGACAGTCCAGTAGAGGGCAACAAAAATAGTTGGGGAACAGGGACACATCACTTATGAGAAGAGGTTGCGGGAACTGGGCTTATTTAGTCTGGAGAAGAGAAGACGGAGGAGGAATTTAATAGCTGTCTTTAACTACCTGAATGTGGGGGTTCAAAGAGGATGGAGCTAGACTGTTCTCAGTGGTGGCAGATGACAGAACAAGGAGCAATGGCTTCATGTTGTAGCAAAGGAAGTTTAGGTTAGATATTAGGAATTTTTTTCTCATGAGGAGGGTAGCAAAGGACTGAAACAAGTTACCCAGAAAGGTTGTTGGAATCTCCATCCTTGGAGGTTTTTAGACAAACCTGGCTAGACAAAACTTTGGCTGGGATTATCTAGTTGGGAATGGTCCCACTTTGAGCAGGGGGGTGAACTAGATGACCTCCTGAGGTCCCTTCCAATCCTAATTATCTGTGATTCTGTGATTTTATTGGATGATGGTTTAATGACACTTTAATTTATGTTCATAGTGCTGTTCAAGGAACTCTGTTAAAAATAATTAAAAACAAAGTACAGTCAAAATTATTTGTCTAATTGTTTCTTTGTACACTGTTAAGAATTTATATAATAACAGTAGAGACATAAAGGGCACAGGCAGTAACAACAGATAGAACAGGTGCATTCAACAGTTAATTTATTTCAATCAAAGTAACAATTTGCTTGGCAATATTAAAGAAGTTTTCAGAAACTTTCAAGGGAATTGGAATCTAAACATATCCTGAAATGAAATCTACATCAGAGATTTTCAAAGCCACCCAAGGTAGGGGTGCTTAGTTCCTGGTGCAATGTCATGTGTCCTGCAAGGCTCCCCTTGGATCCATGCAGGGTAGGACCTGATCCTGCTGTGTAGGGCCAGATGGGGGCAATGTGTTTTGGGATCAGAATAGAGCCCTTTAGTGGTCACTGAAATTGGTGTTAAAACATCTACTGACATTCATAGTGCTGGATTTGTCCATAAGGTCTTCATAATGAACAACAGAAGTTAATGAAAGCACTACCATTGACTTTCAGCAGGCATGAGATCAGGTCTTTAGGGCCTGATTAAAGTTAAGCACATGCTGAAGTGCTTTTCTGTTTGGAAATGCCTTCATGAATCAGATTCTATGTGAATAACAGTTAAAGCATTAACATTAGATGGAAAATAACTTTCTATTGTAAGTCCAAAAAGCTTATATACAGGGAATGACTGAATTACTAAGAACCCTTTCCCCTCTCCACCCTCTCCCTGGAAGCAAATAATATAGAAATAAGACTAGGGACCAAATTCAATAGCTTTTCAGATTAGTAATTTCAATGTAATTATAAAACACCCTCTATTTCAGTTATATTGCTACTGAAATTAGTTGTGCTAAAATGCATCTTCCCAAATTTGTCTTATGTATTTTATACAGTTATAATTTTACCTGTAAGTCAGTAACTTTCCTTCTTACTAAAGTAGGGCTCCAGGGAACTTTTAAGAAAAGAAAGAATAAATAAAACCAACTTAAGGAATCATTTAAACTTGTACTGTGTTAGGTAAAGCATACAGAAACTATACCCAAAATTACAAAGCCATTGTCAAGTTGTAGTTTGCTTTAGTTTAATTACAATTATTCCCCTTAAATGATTTATTAGCTTCCTTTGTAACTTTGTCACAGAGTTCACTTGCTATTTCAATCTGTACTACAATCTGTACTAGCCATTAAAATCAGAGGTTTTTTTCTCTTAGCAAGAAGTAAATCTGTGCTCTTTGCCGATTTGTTTATTACTGTCTGGAAACTTAATCCCCAGCAAAGTCAGAGATTTTAAATATGTCAAATCATCTTAAAGCTACATACTAGTTATATGGGTGACATTATATGTGTTCATGAGAAATTCATTTCAAGTACTACAAATGAGTCCTTTAGTAATACCCAGGAGTCATAATGTCTGTGACATAATGAACCCTCCTAAATTACAGCCTAAGCTAATTAGATCAGTTATTGCTACATTCCAATCCTTGAAACAATTTGCTTAAAGTGGTAGTTACCTTTAATGAAAAGACACATAACTGAAAATGTCAGCAACCTTTTACATGCTACATGACTTATCATACAAACTGCCTAGAGTGAAGTGCTGACAATCCTGCGGCATCTTTGTCACCGATGAGACTGATTCTATCATAAATGTGGTAGTTTATGGCATACAGAAAGTATGGCAGTCCCCTGGGGTAAAAATTTGAGGCAAGAGTTTTGATCTTCTTTTTGTTGTCATTCAGGTGTTTAATGTGATGTTCTTTTATCTCTTCATTATGCTTTTCATCTCCTGCTAGGAACTCAACAATATTTTTAGTTATTTACATACCCTAAACCCTTCACACTTGAGCTTATGAAGCAAGGAAGTAAAAAAAGTGAAATGGCTCAGTTGGTTAAAAGTAGGGGCAGGCAAAGTTCAGCCCAGAGACTGAAACAGGCCCACAGCAGACTCCATTCCTCAGCAGCCCCTGCCTGTGTCACCCGGGTTCCACAGAGACCACAGTAGCAGTAGTGCCGGGACAGAGTGGGGCCAGGTTTTCCATGGAACTGGCCCCAGCAGCACTGGCAGGGTGTGTGGCGGGGTGAGTAGCTGCTCCAGGGCTGGAAGTGGGATCTTGCAGTGGTGACAGTGTGGTCTGGAATGGGTTAGAGCTGTGATCCACTGTCTGCACTCCCTGGATCTCTGAGATGGAAAGGAGGTGTCTGGAGCAAGTGGGCGGTGGATCGCAGCTCTGCCCTGCCTCCAGACCACAGTTCAGCATTTGTCACCCTTTCTGAGAATGACTTGCAACATTTACTGAATTCCTTTGCCCATGCTTACATCCCTTTTTGGCCTCTGTATTAATGTAAAGAAAACTGAAGTCCTGTACCAACCACCTCCTGACAGAAACCTATCACGCCCCTCACCACCAGAAATAAAATTGAATGGCAGCTAATTAAACAACATCAAGTCCTTTTGCTACCTAGGTAGCACAGTTACCAATGATACCAACATGACAGATTTTTCAGCACACTTAAAGTCAGCTGTCTCAGCTTTTGGTTGCCTACATAAAAGACTATGGAAAAGACGGGGGGGGGGGGGGGGGGGGGAAGAGGGACGCAAGTTTCCAGACCTGCTGTGCACCCTTGTCTCCTATACTCATTAGAGACCCACCCCCTTTATCATCACCATATCAAAAAACTTAACTGCCTGCAACAACACCACCTACACAGAATAATGGGAATTGAATGGTCTGACAAAAACACCAACAATGAAGTACTACAACTGACAGCCATGCCAAGCATGGAAGCCATGCTAGCATGGAGACAAATGACTTGGGTCAGCCATGTCATATGTATGGTTAAAAACTGACTGCCTAAGAAAGTTCTATACAGTGAATTCAAAAAAGGCAGTAGGAAGATTGGTCATCCCACACTGCATTAAGCTGTACATAGTCTGCCGGGCTGGACTTAATGTCTTGGGAGGATATGGCCCATGATAGGTGAGCTTGGCACTCCGCTACAAAGGACACAGAATGAGAAACAGAACATCATTGCACCACCTTGGTCAACAATATTAGGGAACATAGACACCAACTTGCCCTGACATGTTTTCTGAACCCTACATGTGGAAACTAACTTCCAGTGTCTGTAGTAGTCATACTTAAATATGAGTGACAGTCACTTACTGTCACACTCAGATGTAGGAAGCTGGGCCTGGGGGCAACTGGAAGATTGTGGCACCAAACCAGGTCAGGATCAGGATGGGCATGTCTGGAGACAAATTGAGTAGGGAGCCGGGGGGGTCAGTCAAAGAGGGGAGTCCAAAAGTATGTTAAGCCAAGAGTACCAGAGGAGCAGACAGGGAGAAAGGTTACCAATGAGCTGAATCAGGTAGCCAAGAGATCAAACTGGAGGAAGTAGCGGAGCAATCATGGGTTATATAGAGCCCTACTTTTTGTTCTTGTTTAGGTGTGTATATGTGGGAAGTGGAGGGTCTGTTGAGCCCAGATAGCTATTCCCTGTGGCAGGGACTGAGTGAAGGGTTAGGCCCTTCTGAAGACTTCAGGCCAGCTTTGACAATTCTTGAGGATGAGCCATACAGATGGCAGGCCAAGGTGCCCAGTTCAAAGCCATAGTCTTGTCAAGCATTTTGGACATGGTTGAAATGCCAGCAGTTGGAAGGGTGGCCAAATGTTTGTTCTAGAGTGTCTTAAGGGGACTCTTTCAAAGAGGTGTGAATTAAGGAATTTATTGTGCATTTTCCCCCATAAATGCAGAAGCTCCATGTGCAGCAGTATATGTATAGGTCCACTATTCACAACAGAGAGAATTATGGAAAACTTGAGGTGCTCTGCTTATCATGAAACCAACTCCACTGAGGATCCCTACTCACGTGGATTTGGAGATAGGCAACAATATATCAACAATATATCTTGCTCGAAGAGGTGAATGTTTGCAAGGTTGATGCCACATTCAGTGCTCATAACCCACTCCCCCTGCCCTGAAATGCTGAGATACTTATGCCTTGTGGTTCCACAACCACCTTGTTTCCAGCAAAACAATGCAATGGCCTGTCTTTGTAAATCTGCATAAGCAACTTTGATACTAATCCTATGGGTGGGCAATTATTTCAGCGGGAGAGACACTTAATGAGTTTTGGTGAGCTGTTGAGGGCCACAAATAAAATAAATAGTGACGATATAATTTTAACAAATGATACATAAAAAACAAATAATATGTTAAAAATCAAACACCTACTGTAAAATATTTTAATTTTATTTCAAAAAATTGCTTTTTTTCTGGATTTATGCTTTTTTTTTTAGTAGCATATATAGAGGTGCATAATACCTCAAAATAAAGTCTCTCTCCCAAGGGAGCCAAAACCAGCCAGTAGGACACTCAGACAAGGGAGGATGCCCCTACCCCAAGTAGAGCCCTGCTACCACCCAGCCACCCCCCCACAGATCACAAGGGGGCTCCTGCTTCAGCCTGAACCCCAAAACACCCCTCAAAAGCCATCTGCACCCCAAGCCTGCCTGACCCACCCCTTCTCATCCACACTTGCCCTGACAAAGCCTGGGGAAGCCCAACCCCCTCCATCCTGCCCCTGCTCCCTGCCAGGGCCATGCAAGCTGTGCCCACCCACAGCCCGGGGGGCCCCCCTTTCCCCAGGAGAAGCCAAAAGCCCCAGGTCCAGGACACTGGGGGCAGTCTCACTCAGGCAGATGGGATGGGAGCCATGCTGGCTGGAGCTGGGCTGGCTCATGGCACTGCACGGGGCAAGGCAGGAGGCAGAGCTGGGGCCAGAACCAGAGCTTCACCTCCTGGGAGGCATGTGGGAAGTTCCATCACTTCTGGGCACAGGTGCAGAGCACCTGCCACATGTTCCTAGTGCCCAGGGAGGCTCTGCCAGCTTCAAGCCACAGGTAGGCAGGATACTACCAGCCCAGCACGAGCAGGGGTACCAGGGTCCAAGTCTGGCTGACCCCAGGGCCTGTTGCATGGTACTGGTCGGGTGGCAGGTGGGCAGGGTTCCTTCCCTCTAGTGTCCCCTGTGGCTCCAGCAGAGCCTGGAGCTGGAGCTGCCATCTTGGCCTCTTGCCCGGGGGCTGGATAGAATTAATTGGCAGGCCAGATATGGCTTGTGGACCATATTTTTCCCATCACTATTAATCTGTTGCCCACCCCTGTTCCCAAATTTGCTCTTATTTCTGTATTACAAATACATTGGTAGATTAAAGTATACATTATTACAGCATGTTGTTATTATTGTGGTGGTTGTTGCAGTGTGTTGTTGTTACAAGTTTCACCTTATATTAGCAGATTTACAGACCATATCTGCACTGCATGACTATTCATACTGTACTGTCTAACCTTATGAAGACTCAACTGGACCTGGATTCTCTGAAGGCTGGCTTTATATCACACTTCCTTCCTCACTGTTGAGTTGTGATCTATGCTCCTTTGCCTGCATCAGAGAATAAGGATGTTTGTTTTTTCTTTAATATTCTTTAATATGCTTTTTAGTGCATTCCTTCCCCATATAGGAAACCCCCTTCCTTTTTTTTATTATGTTGCTCTTTAAATTTAGTTAGTTAGAAATATTTTTTCTTCTTTTTATTAAGATTTCAATATTTTGTCAACTGCTTGCTTCCCACCCTCACCAGGCTGGCAACAGAAGTAGATGGACCCTATCAATAAAAATACTATTACTAGTATTACTTTATTCAAGATTAGCTTCTGAAAATTCTAACCACAAAAGCCCACAGACCTTCCCATGGCCAACACCCACCTAAACAAATGTTGTATTGAATAGAAACTAGTGTAGGAACTCCCTTGCTTTAACCTTTCAACGAGTAGTTGGTCTTTCGTTGTTACTAGGAAAAAGTCACCAATCCCTTCAGCTAATTTGTAAATACTCTTTTAATTTTACTGGGAGTTTGCTGTGTGGACAACTGTGCTGTCATGTACACTACTTTACTGACTTACGGAAAAAAACATGTTTTCACATGAATAAGAAGAATGCCACCTGTTATTACCTTGCTGGAGGTATAATACTAAGTCTATGCTAAGATAGCCAAAATAGTAACTAACTCTTCTTTCTCTCTCTTTCTCTCTTCTGTAGCCTTTGTACAATAGCTACAAAAAACCCTGGGATTCTTAAAGAGGCTGACAGGCATGGAAAGGTCAAAACAAAGCAGGAGAGCTATTTTGGCATATTCCTTCTAGACTCTTGATAACTTTCAAGTGTTTTTTCTTACCGACCGAACAGTACTTTTCTTTTATAAAAAAAAATTAAGAGATGACAGGCTGAAACTGCCTACTTTCCTTTCAGTGTCAGAAGAGGTAAATAGTTTTAGTCTGTGGTGGTTTCTGATTGAATATCCTTTTGAAGTAATGATAGCTATAATTTAAAGCAACAGTTACCATATTTTCTTCTCTCTATGACATTCTTTGATGCAGTAAGTATAAATCTGCTTAAAATAGCTGTAGCTTTGCTTGAATATACTACCAGGACCCTTGGAGGTTCTGCCTCTAATTGCCATCATATGTAACTAATATCACAAACATAACTGGCTAATGACAAGGTTACTGCAAATAATTTCTTGACATAAGAAGAAAGGTAGATCCTGAGATGCACATTCAGTTCAAACTGTTTGCTTAAACTAAACCTTTTGCAAAGAAATTCTTTTTAATTAACATAAGTAGTGCTTCTCTGTAATGAGACTGTCTAGGCCTGGCTGTGGATGCAACTGTAAGCTGGGGTAAGATGTACTTTATGTTATGACATAGCATCAGAAAATGGTGTAAAAGGGGTTTCAGAAATATAGAAATCAATTTTTAATAATATTACATGAAAATATAAATGTTATTATTCTACAGAAAAAACTCTTGTGAAAGAATGCGTTTTCTGTTTCTTAAAAAAGAAAAATTTAATTATAAGTGGAGGTTCACTGGCCTCTCACATTGCACACACTACTTTGCTGAAACAATTGGTAGCTTTTCTTGCCAGGGGACTGTGAATGGAGTTAACAATTCCTGAATCGTTATCTGAATTCACTTCAAGTGGAATTCATTCCAAGTGGATTCACACAACGATATTATTCTAATGGACTTTGTAATCCAGCAGAAAGGAATAACACATTCAATTATTAATTATTTCAAACACTCCCTCCATTTTTATTGCTGTGAAATTTAAAAGGATTACTTAAATGAGTTCTAATAAAGGGTCAGTTTGATTTCTGTATCAGGGGCCCACACCACAGACATGGTCTGGAGAGCATAGGGAATACAAGTACAGAGAACAAATGCAAAGCATAGGGACAGGAGAGGTCAGAGGATAATAAAAGGGGAAACAAAATGGTACACCAAATGGAGAACCCTGGACAGTACCCTGAAGGGAACTTGATCTATAAGTAAGGTAGTCTGATGGGAAAACTACCTATAAAGGAAACAAAGGCCTCCCCCTTAACAAAGGGAAAGGTCAAAAGAATCATTCAATCCACTGAATATGGGGAATGAAGAATGGAAAAATGGAAATGGGGTGCATACCATAGGGTCAAAATAAGAGTTCCAGACTGAGCAGAAGTTTGATCCTTCAATCTGAGTTGAGCCTTTTTACTATATTTTATTTTATAATCTACGCATGTTTTAATTTCAGCTCTGACTCCTAAAATCAAAGTATTATCCTCCAGGCTGTGGATGTTTTTTGGCTTCATCAAGAAAATCTTACTAATCTCTTGTCTACTGCATTGCAAAACACTGCTCTCAATTATTTTAAAAAAGAATTCTGATGGTGATAGCAGTGATATAACAGATATTTTTTAAAAATCTCAGGAATTAATCAGCAGCCAAAATAACCTTTCCCTTCTGCTTTCCACATTAAACAACACTGAAATCAGTTTAAGTGCTCCAATAACCTTGAAACATGTTGAGCACAGAAGTTGCAAAATTGGTGTTACCCCTTAAAAACACATTTAGACAGCCACTTTTTTGTAAAAAGAAAAAAAGCCTTTGTGTTATTAGGTGGGGATAGGCTAAGGAACTTCATGACCCTTTGAAAATTAAAAGTCTGGCTGAAAATGCACTGAGGTAATCATTTGTGTCACAACAGGTTTGCTGCTGAAAGCTTTCTGTGTATTAGTTTAGAATTGCATACTGCGACTTTCAAAACCATCAGAGAAATTTGCTCATCTCTTTGCTCATCAATCACATCATAATTTCTGGGCTGGGGATGGGGGGGTTGTTTTTCTTTTTTTGTTACAAGACATGTATTTCTGACCTGTTAGCTGGGAGAGCTAGATGGGATAAATGTCTTCAAATGGAATCAGAATTGGGCCTCTGGCAGTATGAGAAACTATTCTTTACATTTTTTTATATTCTTGAAAGCTCTAGAGCCAGCTTTGCATGGTTCCTCCTTACTTATTTCCTCCTTACTTATTCCTCAT